AGATTAGAAGTGTTACAAGAGAGTAACAAACATAAAAAAGGAGGGGATATACGGACGACAGATGTTTGATAGGAAAGAAGAATATTAGTTTTAACCCGTCCAGCCCAGCCATTTTTGTGCACACCCTGACCAAAGTCCCTTTCAGAAAAAGAGGCACACATTCTAAAAAGTGATGCAGTATCTTTAGTTTTAGTGTTTTACGGCATTTGCAACACAATAAGGTCAAATGAGCGCCAGAAGATTAGAAGTGTTACAAGAGAGTAACAAACATAAAAAAGGAGGGGAGATAAGGACGATCGATGTTTGATAGGAAAGAAGAAAATTAGTTTTAACCCTTCAAGCCCGAGCGCCATTTTTGTGCACTCCCTAATGGCCTAACCCAAGTCCCAGTCAATACAGCAGAATATGAGAAAAAGCAGCACAGACAGCACACATTCTCAAAAGTGATGCAGTATTTTTTGTTTTAGTAAGTGTTTTACGGCATTTGCGACACAATAAGGTCATATGAGCGCCAGAAGATTAGAAGTGTTACAAGAGAGTAACAAACATAAAAAAGGAGGGGATATACGGATGACAGATGTTTGATAGGAAAGAAGAATATTAGTTTTAACCCGTCCAGCCCAGCCATTTTTGTGCACACCCTGACCAAAGTCCCTTTCAGAAAAAGAGGCACACATTCTAAAAAGTGATGCAGTATCTTTAGTTTTAGTGTTTTACGGCATTTGCAACACAATAAGGTCAAATGAGCGCCAGAAGATTAGAGGCGTTACAAGAGAATAACAAACATAAAAAAGAAGGAAGGGAAATAAGGACGACAGATGTTTGATAGGAAAGAAGAAAATTAGTTTTAACCCTTCCAGCCCCAGCACCATTTTTGTGCACTCCCTAACCCAAGTCCCAGTCCATACAGCAGAATTTCAGAAAAAGAGGCATACATTCTAAAAAGAGATGCAGTACCTTTTGTTTTAGTAAGTGTTTTACAGCATTTGCAACACAATAAGGTCATATGAGCGCCAGAAGATTAGAAGTGTTACAAGAGAGTAACAAAAGAAGGAGGGGAGATAAGGACGATAGATGTTTGATAGGAAAGAAGAAAATTAGTTTTAACCCTTCCAGCCCCAGCGCCATTTTTGTGCACTCCCTAACCCAAGTCCCAGTCCATACAGCAGAATTTCAGAAAAAGAGGCATACATTCTAAAAAGAGATGCAGTACCTTTTGTTTTAGTAAGTGTTTTACAGCATTTGCAACACAATAAGGTCATATGAGCGCCAGAAGATTAGAAGTGTTACAAGAGAGTAACAAACAGAAAAAAAAAAAGGAGGGGAGATAAGGACGATAGATGTTTGAAAGGAAAGAAGAAAATTAGTTTTAACCCTTCCAGCCCCAGCCCCATTTTTGTGCACTCCCTAACCCAAGTCCCAGCCAATATGGCAGAAAAAGAGGCACAAATTCTACAATGTCTTTAGTTTTAGTAAGTGTTTTACGGCACTTGCAACACAATAAGAGGTCATATAAGTGTCGAACAATAGAGGAGTTACAAGAGGGTAACAAACACAAATTAGAAAGAGGGGAGATAAGGATGATAGACGTTTTTGTTTTGGTAAGGTTTCACGGTGCTCGCAACTGCATAAGGTCATATGAGCGCCAAGGGGTGGATGTCAACAGATATGTCCAAACGAGGAATCAGACTTACTTTGCTCATCTCTCTAGCCTCAACAGCACAAAGTCTGCTTCAACTATCAAGGCACCCCGGAAATAGCAGTTCACAAGAGAGTGACAAACATACAAAAGAAGTAGACGAAAAAATGACGATAGTAGGGATGAGGAAAAAAAAGCAGCAGTTCCCTTTATATTGTTCCGGCACAGTATGAGCATGACATTGATAAATGAGCCCATTTACAATTCTACTGTGCATAAGAACATGTTAATATCCCCCCCTTTGGGAATGGCCTAAAGACACTTCAGTCAGTAGCACTGCCCTGGTGGGGGCATAGAATAAACTGACAACAGAAACAAAACATACGAAAAGAAAAGAAATATGACCAACCAGCAGCAGCCTCCAACCACTCATACTGGCTACAGAAAAAAAGAAAGAATGAAAGAAAAAAAAGAAAGTTTTAGTAAGAGTTTTATGGCACTTGCAACACAATATGGTCATACAAGAGCCGAAGAATAGATGTGTTACAAGAGAGTAACATACTCAAAAAAGAAGGAGGAGAGAGATAAGAACGATAGAAGTTTGATAGGAAAGAAGGAGCAAACCACACCAGAGCACCCGCCAACCACCAACAGAAAGAAAGAAAGAAAGAAAGATAGAAAGAAAGAAAGAAAGACATGAACACAAGAAGAGACAAGAAAGAAAGAAAGAAAGAAAGACATGAACACAGAAGAGACGAGAAAGAAAGAAAGAAAGAAAGACATGAACACATAAGATCTAAGAGACAAGAACAAAGAAAAGAGATCACTTCACAGCAATGTAAGAATACTAATTGTAAGATAACTGAACGAGAGAGACCAATCTCACCAGCGTTGGGATAATTGTAGTACAGGCTGAACAATGAGTCCACTCCGTAGGCCACCTGAGGGATGTGGTAGCACTCAAACAGCAGCTCAGACATCACTGGGGGAGGGAGACAAACAAACAGACAGTACGGTGTTTTTTAGTTTTAGTTGAGGTTTTAAACCGTTTTACGGCGCTCGCAACAGCATAAAGTCATATGAGCGCCAGAAGATTAGAGGTGTTACAAGAGAGTTTTTTTAGTTTTAGTAGAGGTTTTACGGCGGTTACAACTGCATAAGGTCATATGAACACCAGAAGATTAGAGAAGTTACAAGAGAGTAACAAACATAAATAAAGAAGAAGAGGAGATAGCGACGATAGATGTTTGATAGGAAAGAAGAAGCAAACTATACCAGAGCTCCCGCCAACCACCCACAGACAGTATGGTGTGGGAGGGTGTGGGATGGTATGGTGTGGGTGTGGTGTGGTGTGTTGTATTGTTGTGTTGTGTCGTGTTGTGTTGTGTTGTGTTGTGTGGTGTGGTGTGGTATAGTAAGGCATTTTGGGGGGGGGGTAAGT